GGATAGAACTATAGTATTGAGAAGATGTAGAGTAGAGTCAACAAATATGAGTGAAGATATAAAAATTTAAATGGTGGAAGTGAAAGAAAAATAAGAAACAAATGGGCATACCTTTTGGCGACAAAGAAGCCCCCGCCGATGGAACCTAATGGAAAGGCTTGGTGTTTCCATTGTCGCTTGTCTAAATCGCTGCTAAAGATAAATTAACACCACATTGGTCAGTTAGAGAAGGTAAGGAGGGGGATCTAGATCAAAAAGGGTAGATTGATCCATTGGGCTTACCAATTAGGCAAGATCATGGCACAATCTTTGGTGGCCTTTGTCGTTTGAGGTTGTTTGAGGTGATGTATTGGGAGAAAATCGGGATCGGATGTATTCTGAGCGAGGAGGAAGGGCTGGTACAGTACAGGTACTTGCCCGGTACTTGCCAGGTACTTCGCAGGTACTTTACCGGTAAAGTACATAAAGTACCGGGCCAGATACCCGGTACTGTACCTAGTATCACGATACTGACAGAGCCGGTACTGTACTGGTACCTTGGTGACCGGTACTATACTAAGTACAGTACCTACACTGAAAAAAAAAGTTTGTACGCCCTGTAGTACAGTAGTGGCAGCCAAGGTACTGTACTGCCAGGTACTGTACTTGTACTTTTAGGTACTTTACTTTACTATACCAATACTGGTACAGTACCGGCTGCTGCGTTGCCTAAGGGAATGTTTGGTTTACAACATCAACTCTTATAACAACGCTGGCGACCAAGCCAGTTACGCTCCGGATATTGCTAATCACAGGGGCAAAAACAGATGCTCACATAGGTGTGAGCATTGAAATTTTTGTGTTTTCTTCAATGTTTGTTCAATTTTACTTCCCATTTCTTTCCCATTTCTTTCCTATTTCTTTCTGCTTGTCAACTGATTTTGTGATCAACAGGAACTGAGCAGACAAACTAAGCCTTCCTCAGGCGTTATTCCTGAGCAAAGAAGTCTGAGGAAGGGCTGATCCATCTGCTCAGCTGATCCTGAGCGGCATTCCCTGGTTCAGTAGGTTCCAAGGGACACCACTGATGATTAGATTAAGGGCTGAGCTGAACTGAGTATTCCCTTAGCTAAGTCTCTGCAGCATCTCTTGGACGGATCACAGAGGGCCAGGCTTGCCTCAAGCTTCATGGCTCCGGAATGAAGCCTGAGGCCCATCTGCTCAGTTCAACTGAGCTGCTCAGCTATTCCTCAGTGGCATTCCTGAGATCAGAAGGATCCAGAGGATTCCACTGCTCATTGGCTGAGGGGCTGCTCAGCTAGTCCTGAGGGGAATTCCTGGGATCAGAGGGATCCAAAGGATGTCACTGAGTATTGGCTGAGGGGCTGCTCAGTTGATCTCAGCCCCTCAGTGTGAACAGCTTTATCCAGGGAAAATCACTGAGGATTAGTTGAGCAAATGGGATGGCTCTTTTATCAGGCTTCATTCTTTAGCAAAGAAGTCTGAGGGAAGTCTGGGCCATCAGCGATTCAGCCAAGGGATGCTACTGAGTATTTGCTGAGCAGCACAAAAGGGACACCCGTGTTCAGGCTTCTTCACTAAGAAATGAAGCCTGAGGAAGGTATAGCTCATGTGCTCATTTTCATTTTGAACAAATTGCTGAGTATGCAGTGACTCATGAGCTGATCCCAAGTACTCATCTGGACTCAGTTATTGCTCATCCAAGATGAAAATGGGCCTTCTCAAGAAATGTCAAGCAAAATATAAGCAACACAGGCTGATCACCTGAACACAACCAAAATTGCAAATTGAATGAATCTGAAAGAAAATGAATCTTTTTTGGAGAATTCAAAAAAGTCTACAATGCTCACATGTATGTGAGCATCAATTTTGGCCCCTGTGAATGTAGTGATCATGTAGTGATCATGTAGTGATAATGTAGTGCTAACACCACGGGAATTAATGGGTTCAAAACCCGATTGAAGAAAGTTGTGGTGACCGGTCCACAACTTTCTTCAATCACCAATTACGTTTGCAATACGTTTGCAATACATTTGCTGGATACCCTTGAGATACCGTTTCAACACATCAAAACTGTCATATGCAACAACAACACCACAGGCCATTTTATCCTTGCTTATCTTATCACAATTTGGCACATGTCCAGGAACAAGATTAAATGAGAGGTACAACCATGGCTCAAGCAAGGCAAAATTTTCCTCTGCCAATAGAGAACTGAACATCAGCCCAGTTAACTACTCACACCTATGCGCCAGGGAACAAAGCTACTCAGGACTAATCATAAGTTTGATGAATGTATTGTGTGACGGTCCAAAGAAGAACTTTTCAAAGTAACATGTATTCTCAAAATAAAAGAATTGAAAAAATGTAGTCAATGGAACGTCTGATTCAGGTTAGTTTTGTTTGATATACCAAGGTACATCACACTTCTTGTGAGTCGTTTCTTGATAAGAAACTTCAGCATGTTGAGATGCAAAGAACCTGTAAGAGGCTTGACTTGGTGTGTTTTGCTTTCAATATACAAATTGAATCAAAGAGCAAAAGCCAAACAAAAAGGTGATTGTACAGAGATTGAACACAAGAACCAAGTTGGTTTTGGTTTTAATTCCTAATTATCACAGATGAATTTTTGTAATCCAATCACTCACTCCAAAATAGAACTGGTGGATTCAAATTGGAATGATGATCAGAAAATAGGTATCGTCCAAGAGTATGATGTCCAACAGAGCTCAAAGGATGGATTGAGTTTGGCTTCAGTGGCAACGTTGGTACAGAATCACATACCACTAAGTTTTGCTGATGTTGTTTTTGAGCAATCTGATTCTCAAGCTCTTGTCGAGTTATCTTCAAATCATCATCAGACAAACATGGATCAAGAATCAAAGGGCTTGTGGTGTTGTTGCATGTGATAGTTTTGATGTGTTGAAACGGTATCTTGAGGGTATCCAGCAAACGTATTGCAAATGTATTGCAAATGTAATTGGTGATTGAAGAAAGTTGCGGACCCGGTCACCGCAACTTTCTTCAATTGGGTTTTGAACCCATTAATCCCCGTGGTGTAATGTAGTGATGACGTAGTGATGACGTAGTGCTAATGTAGTGCTACCCTCAACACAAACACCTCTGGTTGCAGCCATCAGTGCCCCCTTCTGAGCCACTGCTTTGCAAGTGACCTTGCATGGTGGTAACCAACTTCAATTGTGACAGTCAAAAAACTTTGAAAAAATCATCAAGCACCTTTCACAGTAGGTTCAAGAAGAATTTGGTAACTTCTTTTGAAAAAAGTCATTGGTACAGCATCAAGCCAAAACCAGAGAAAAGATTTGTTCACACATTTTTTTTCTTGGTATTATGCATGTCAGAGGAGAAACAACTTCAAGTGATAGACAAATCTTGGGTTTTGGACTGTAAGAAGATTTTATAAAAGACAATCTTAGGGGAAAAGGTTTTATTTTTGTGCTGACAGTCTTTGCTGATTTCTCCACTGATTGGCTGAGGATGATTTATCAAATGTTTTTCAACAAGGCCTGATCTTTACGTAGAATGATAAAGTGGATACTAAACCCCTGTACTGTTTGAGATAACACCAGAAGTTCATGAGTAACCTAAGGTACCCACTTGAGTCATCAAATGTGATCCACCAGTCTGAAGTCAAACAAAACTCTACCAAATTTATTTCAAATCTCTTTGTGTGTGCATGTTGACATGTGATAAGTTAACAGACATATTTCAACCCTCCAGCTGTGAGTTTGTTGCATGTGTTAGCAAAAGGCATGGCTTAGGGCTAATCTCCTCCATGACCAAGCTTCACCTTTTGTGTCACATAGGAAAACTGGATTTGAAAACAACTGTAGGTTTGAAAACCTCAGTCCCAAAGACAGTTTCAAACTATTTACACAGCTCACCAAGTTTTCAAGCCTTTTAAATTCCCTGTCACCTCTCAAGTCATATGTACAAGCAAACTCAATTGAAATCCCCTTCCTACTGACTGCCACCTAGCTGGGGTTGGATCAGTGCTATTATGAATGGACCTATACCATGAAGAGAAATCAATGTCCTGAGCCAGGGCTCCACTAACCAGCTTGACTCTCAGCATGACTAGATAGAATAATGGTAGAGCAGATGTATGTAAGAGATAGCATTTGCACATAAGATGGACTCAGTGAAGGGAATAGTGTTACTGGACAATCACAGCTTTGGCTAAGTGCGTAGCTCAGTCATGCTAATATGATGGCCAGGATGAAAACTGAAATCACAGTGGTGCTAATGTTTTTCTAGTGTGATTTGTCTAGCATTGGGAGTACCACTTGAGGAAATTTGATGTTTGGGAAGTTGAATTGAATAGAGGATGGCTAAAGAAGTTAGATATAGAATGGGTTTGCAAACATGAAATGAACAGGATCTGGTACCCCAAACCACGTGAGTCTAGCACATCTTGCCCATGTGTGAGCGGACCATGAGGTGTCAAAATGAATGTGAACTACAAAATCAAGCTTGAAAGTTGAATTACCAGCATGCTGCCCAAGTCACCAGTAATTCAAATCTGTGAGAAGAACAGAGAAGGGGGGGATCATGGGCAAGTACATAGCCACAGAGCGCCTAAGCCTTGTGCCTCCAGAGAGGAAGGGTCCAAGTAAGCTTGAGGCTCCTCATCACCTCAAGGTGGGGTGGGCTAGGACCATGTCCTCTGGGGTGGTTTCAGGCACTTTACAAAACTCAGAGCCCAGAGAGTTCTGGGGAGTCAAAGCACTCAGGGCTCTAGAGATATTGAAGTGATAGCTCAATACACCTCCAGGCTCAAGGCACCCCCCACAGTAAGGTCAACTTACTTTAACCTAGTAGAGGGTAACATAAGGCTGAGATTTCAGAGGCAATACTTCTTAGCTTGTGACCTAGTACTTACATGTAGAATGGAGATGGGAATTCACACAGATTCTTGAAATCTGGATCACCAGCTAGGAAATCTTGGTGCTCTTGAGTTGGTGGTTAAATGGTCTTCTAAACTGATTGTAAAGAATTAACTTTCAATCAAGTGATATAACAATCATTTGAAAGGATAAAGATTAATTCAACTCAGTTTGAAGTATAAGAATTTCAAGAAGATGTACAAAGTTGATTGAACACAAAATGACCTCAACCATTAGAAAACAACAAAAAAATTGAGAATAAAAACAGAAAGAGGTACTGAGTAGTACAGGTTTTTTTGTCAATGTATATATTTACCAAGTTGAAGTCTTGTAGACTAAATAATGTCTTTTGAGGTGTACAGATATGCTTAAAGATTGTGTTTCAAGGTCTTACATGAATAATTGATACAAGTTTTCAGGTAGTTGCCCGGTTTGTGTGGTTCGGGAGTACATCAATCGACCTAAGAGGTGAGCTAAGAGATCTAATATCAGTTCATCTTTCAAAGGCATCTGGTAATCTAGATTGGAAACTCACCAAGACGATGGTCTACCTATACCTTTCAATCCATCATACACAATAAATCAATTCGATCCTTCCCAAGATTTTGAATTTGAATGATGGATTGGAATCCCATTCAAAAGTTTATTATACCTCATTTGTCGAGCCAACTGATCTTTGACTCTCTCTCGTTTGAGTAACCTGATCATGGGAGCCAAACTAGCCGAAACATGATCTTTTTTCAACTCTTCATCAATCAGATTAAACGAACTTAATTGATAAAAGATCGGTCTAGTTTCTAGGGCTTTAGTTAATTTGTTTTTGATGATCAATCGATTGATCTTTTCGGATGTTTCATATGTTTTGATGGATGTAGGTGAATGTAAATAAGATCCAGAATTGATTTTAGATTCTAGATTCAATCCTTTGAGTTTCTTGGTTTTTGCTAAGTCTAATCGGTTAGGTCGGTTCAGTAGATAAGGTTCTAAACATGTGGTTCCAACTGATCTTAATCTGTGTTGATGTAAAACTGAATCATTTGCTAAAGTCATTAAAAGTTGATGACCTGTTGATTTAAGTGAATCTAAATCTGGAATATCTAAACTTGTGAAGATTTGGAGTATGATGGTGATGGGTAAGTTTAGGATTGGAAATGGTTTTGATGGGTTTACTGCTAGCCATGCGTTCAGTTCTGATTCTGATTCTGATTTTTTGTGTTGGATTTGGGTTTTGTTAACTGAGGTTCGTTGCATTTCCTGAGTTGATGGAATTGAAGTTGAGCTCGCAATTTCAGTTCGGTTCAAACTTGATGAAGTTTCTTCAAGATTTGCTAGTGGTGAAGACATCTTGGTATTAAAGTGTTCGAGATTGAAATTTGGATTAAGATTTGAAAATGAGTGGCGAAAGAGGAAAGATGTTGCTGAGCATGATTGGTTTTATGCGGCTCTTTTCTGACTCGGTAGAACGTGAAAGTAAAATAAACAGGGACTAGGAAGGGATATATCTATTCGGTCATCATACGTAGTCAAGCAGACGTACGAACGAAGTGGATTGCTTCACATGCTGTGCAGTGTGCAGTCAGGACTCAGAACCTTTCGAGTCGACACATGTCACAAATTGATGACAGGTCACTTCTCAAAACGTCATCTCCATAATCCAAGGGTCAAGACTCAAGAGATCTGAGAACTCTTTAGTCGAAGTCTTCTATTCCTACCAAACCTCGTAGACCAAAAACGTGCAGGGGTGAAGCAGCTGCCTTTAGGTTCAGATCCAACATTTAGCTCCTCTCTCCCTTCAAAAAATAACGTACAACTCACTTTGTTATTATAGACATCCATTCTCAACAAATCTATTACTATGAACAAGTATAAAGGGTTAAAAAGGATACATAGATAGTGAAACTAAAGATATGTACAAGATTCATAGCTGTGTCCTGCACAGCTATAACCAGTCAATAACAAATGGTAGAAGTACTTATTGGGGCAACTTCGACACACCTTCAGGGAAATATAAAGCGATCCGAAAACATATTATGTTTGATCCATAACCAAAGAACCTATACGAACATTTTTATCCTCTTTTGTTGAGCTTGACTTACACCTTTGTGCCGTCTCACATATTTGGGTGTTGGTGACATTTCATTGCTGATAGATTGAGATGAAGAACTTGAAGCTCCCAATGAAGATGAACCAATTTCAGTATCTTCAATATCACATATATCCTTAAAATCATCAAAGTTAAAATCAGGATGAGATTTTTCTAGATTTAATATAATTTTATAAAGTTGTATCTGGATTTCTTGGATTTCATTTTCGAATTTGACCATGACTTTACTTGAATTTATAACTTCTTTTTTGGTTGATAAATCGATTTTTGATAAAGGTTTAGATGATAATTGGGCATTCATTCGCTTCGCTTTTTCGAGTCTAATAGAAAGTTGTGCAATTCTTTCTTGAAGTTGATTTATTTCTAAAAGACATTGTTCATCTGAGTCTAGTGATGTTGAAGATTCAGATATGGATGACGATGTACCTAAAGAAGGTTGATATCTGATGGGTAAAGGTTTGATGTCAAGATGATCTCGGGTTTCTATTGACGATGTACCGACAGATTGGCCGTCTTCCTCTAACTCCATGGCAAGGTGATAATGTTGATCGGAATCCCCTGAAAAACTTGATTGAATGTCAGAGACCTCATCTGAGCCGGATTGTTCATATGACTGATTTTTAGACATAGATGATGTAGACAAGGCAGGTCGATGTCTCATTGGTAGAGGTTTGATGATACGTCGATTTCTAGACTGGGCTGACTTTGAACATGTACGAAAAGATTGGTCGTCCTCTTCTGAGTCTATACCGATTTGATGATATTGATCATATTGCTTACTTGGTTGGCTTTCCAATTGTACCTCCTCCGAGTCTGATGATGCCGGACGTTTAGGCGCGGGGAAAGTAGATAGGGTAGTAGGGCCTCCGGATTGTAAAGATTCAACGTCGGACTCGTATCGATTTCCGCGTTGATTTGACGATTCACAAATGAAATGAGCGTCTTCTCCGTTCGGAGTGATTTGATCTTGCTGAGAATCATGTACAACCACCACATTAAGCGGATCACGCTCTGTATCGCATAGCCACCTGAACAGTAATGGATTGTGATAAAGTGCTTGAAGTGACTGCAGCTTTTGATTTGTCAGCAACTCCAACAACAGTAAGGCTTCTGGGACTGTTAGCGTTGATAGATCCCAGAGCGATTGTAGCAGCTGGATCCGCTCTCTCATAGATGGAGGAGAGTCTCTCATGAGAGATTTTAGCAAGCTTTCGACCGAGTCGGATGATTCGGGTGTCGACATCTGGAAGTAGAACGATTCTTGGCGGTTTGATGCTTCCTTTTTGTTCTGGCAGTTCGAAAAAAATAGAGAGAGAGTATGTTATTTCTTGGTTGAAGCAAGACCTTATCAAAGTTCTTTTGGAAACATACGTACGATCTTATTTAACTTTTTGTTGAAGGCGCGTGATTGAGAATGCTATGAGTTGATACGTGTTTGATAGTGCTGGTATGCTATTCTAACTTATTGAGCGATTAGCTGAGAGGAGTTCAGGCTGTGGCTAGGAAACTCAAAGGCTGAGAACAGAGGTATTATAGCCACGAGCCACAGAAAGTTTGCTTTGAGGTGAAGTTGTTCAAGATTAGTAAAAAGAAACGCTAAAATAAAAGATGACAAGGTAGGTTCACAATCAATGTTTTTCGAGATGAAGCTACGGTTTGCTTTAAAAACTGGGAGGAAGCAGGATGAGACGCAAATATATGTGCTCTTGAGATCACGCTGTGTGTAGTAGGTCTCATAGACAGGCAAAGTGAGTTGAGGATTTATTTCAAAGGGACAAGATGGGCGTCCCCCATCACAGCCCCCTTATGCAAAGTAACTCGAATGTTTCAATGCGGAGTTGGTGTCAATGGGGTGGGTGACATTTGCGCTAATCGATTTACGCGTAATAATCAGCTTAGCAACTCTTGAGAATTGACAAAAGCTACAGAGAACAAACGAAAGAGATAAACGAATTCTACGATGGTTGATTTGATGTGCTTTATCAGCGGGTAAAAAACCGCTAACTCGGAAGTTGTCGATAGTGAACTTACGACCAAGCTCTTATCTGGTCATATCACCGTTTTCATATCTTCAACGATTCTAAAGGAATGATCGAATTCGATCAGTTTCTTCTTCTTTTCGCCATTATCTCCTTTGTCTTTTTCATGTTCAGGCTGCATATAACCGTCTAATTCAGATGACAGAATCAGCAAGTCTAAATAAGGCTTTATTTCAATCGTCTTTTGTTGTCAATCCTACCACATGGTGAGCTAACTCATCGGTCTCAAATCCTTTGACTCATCAACGTTACCCATGACCTCCAGAGCAAAGATCTACTCCTCAATCATCACTCACTTGTATTATTAACGCTTATATAGACAGCGCCACGAATTCAAAGACCATAGCACACTTGACTTTCAAGTATTGTTGGCTTTAGCTTTTGAGAAATAAAGTGATGGGCAAGTTATTTTTAAGTAGGTAAAGCAGGATAAAATAATTCAAATCGGGACCCTTGAGTTTTATCTAGGCATGTGATTTAACTAGATTTAGAGGTTTGGTAGGAGATGAAGAACTTGATGCTTGCTGGTGTGCTAAAAAGATTTCAAAGGTGCTTTTTCTCAAAAGAAGAACATCCTTTTAATCCCAAAATTTCAGATTTTCGGACAGTCTCTTAGTAGAGGATCCTAAAGTTTTCTCTGGTGGAATCAAACCGCTTTTGCTGAAGACGATTACTTTGGGTAAATTTGCGGACTCATCACTCGCAAAAATTTCAACTGTTTTGATAGTAAGGTTTTTATGTGGTGATGATAGCTATACTAGGCTTTCAGAACAGATCACATTTCAAAGAGTTGACTACTTCCGATTACTGACTACTTAGACTAGTTCTAGAGTTTTTGTTATCTACTCGAACCAGCTTTGAATGCAATAGCTTGGTAGATATTGGACTGTCTAAAGTCGGTTAAGAGACTTGACCAATTTTTCTATACTCATCCAAATGCCTCTTATTTCCCTCTTTCCCTCTTTCCTCGTCTTTGATCTTTTTCTCATGAAGATCATTCTCATAAAAGTGATTGTTACTATTGACCGCTCTATAAAACTCGAGCGGGAATATTTAATACTCAACCCTTATTTGTGAAGATCTCTCGTACTACAGAACAGTGACTCAATGATTAAATACAAAACCAACAAATCGATATCTTATATAGGCATCTATCTCATCAAAGCACAAACAAGGTGATATAATCTAAGTATAAAGCAAGAAACCTGCTGGATGATCTCGAGGACGAGGTCATCTCAATATATACATATGGCGTGCTGTACGCCGTACCCGCTGCGATAGACAAGCCCGGACTGGACTCTACCGAAACAAAAAAACACGATAAAACCGATGACACCGAGGCATGTGAGAACAAGAAGCACTTTTCCACCAGAAGCCGTAGTGGTTTTGGGGGTAGAGCTTCGTTTGTCCGCCGGTTGTTCACCAACGACGGTAGCAGTCGCATTTACGCGACTATCAGGATTATCGGAATGAGAAGAAACATGAGTAGCTATATCTGGTTTCTCCATGGTGAGAGAGGTTAACTTACTTGTGCGCAACGTTATTCACCTGTTGGCTTAGGTGGTTGAATTGGGTTACCAAATCTGACTGATTCGACGATAATGATTCTTTAATTTGTGATACATTAGATGCTGTTTCACGGACAGATTCGCTTTGTTGTTCTTGCTGAATCCTAAGCTGGTTGAGTATATCTTGGATCTTTTCTAAAAGCGTGTTAGGTTCTTCGCTTAATGTAAGTGTATACATCTTAGAGGACATTCTTTTTATAAGGTTTCTACTTTTTTGTTTGAAGAATTCGACAAGGATAGATGGATGTTACAAATCACACTTTTCAATCAAGTTGATCGAAAGATTCTGAGAGACACGTACAATTTTCTTTAACTTCCTTCTTGGTAACGCGCGAGTATTTGATTGATGATTATACGAGTTAATGGGTGTTTAAGGAGGTCGGAATGCTGTTGTGAATTATTGATAGATTAGTCTAGGAGAATTCAAGTCACTGGTAAGGGAATATCAGGCTTACGAGAGAAATATTATTATAAAGTGTGATAAGAATTCTTTTGGAGTGAATCTATTCAAGATCAATGAGAAGCGATACTGAAAATAACAGATGTCAAATTAGGACCACAATTTATATCCCTCGAGTGACCAAAGAATTGAAGAGAAAAGAAAGGAACACGCTGAAGTCGGCACTTCAGATACCAGCGTGTTCACTGCGCCAAAACGAGCGCAGAAGTGACCTGAGGATTCATTCAAAGGGATGATTAATGGGTTTCGTACGTAGGCCCCTTTTCGAACCGATAGCACCGGATGTTTCGATGGAGGGTTTGAATGGGTAAAATGCGCTGGTCAGTTTACGGCGACGCGCAATGAGCTTCATAAACACCCCTTTCATGGAAATCAGTCTGACGTCCATTTCTTTTAGATTTTTTTGATGATTTGAAATACCTGAAAAGCGATCCAAGAACAATCGTAAAACTTTAGATACATACCCCGAAAAAGTTAGAGAATGGATTGTGGTGATCTGAAAAATGAGCTACATGAAATCCCCTTTCATGGAAATCAGTTTGATATCCTTTTTTAATTTTTTTTACTGATTTGAACATTGGGAAAAGTGAACAAATAACAATCGTAAAAGTCAAGATAACCAATGATGGAGACTGAGATGGTTCGAAAAACTCGCCGTGGAATCCAATCAAAAGTTGTCAATGTTAACCTTTGACCTTGATCAGATCACTTGCTTTATTTCCTATCTTGTTTGCTGAAGAATCTTCCCAACTTTCTTTGGTAAAATTCATCCCGTCTCTCAACAAGCCTGAGCAAGCCTTTTGACAATCCTTTGTGCCTTTCAACTTTGCATGAGCACAAGTGGGCCGCGTGGGCAATGACAGGCAAGCCGCAACGTGAAGTGGCCTTGTTTTGACGCGGGTCGAAATGTGGACTGCCCATTGGGAGGAGGGCTTTATCCGCAGCGAGGCTCGGCCACGCTCATTTCGCCGACCATGCTTGAGGCTTGCTGAGCCCTTCAGCGTGAATGTGATTGCTTGTCAGCAATCGAACTTTACATGACCAGCCGATCAAGATGCAAACAGCCGATGAACAAAAGCTTTTCCAAACCGACGCCCAGTTAAAGATGTGAATTTCTTCAAATTTAAACCTGATGGTCCTTACCCCTCACCATCCAGAACTGACAAAAAATCTAATCTGTCTTCAGAGCCGATCTAAGGCTTCAAAAGTCTCTAGACGATAAGAAACCAAGTGCGGCTAATGGATATCCAATGGTCCTTGCAAGCAAACCCCTCAAAATTATTGTCGAGGGTGACGATGTTTATGTAGCTCAGAATGGATTCGTAGCTCAGCGAATCGATTTGAAGGTATTGTGCCTCAAGTCCAATATCTTCAATTCAAGTTAACTGACTTTGATCAAAAGTCGATCAACGACTTTTTGTTTTCTCAAAAAATAGACAGGTTCGGTCAAAGGTACTTTCAAAGGTCACGCAGGACCCGTTACTTCAATCGCGATATATGATATGGTCACGCCTCAAGGATCACGAAAGCTTTTGATTACCGGTTCTTGGGATAAGACAGTGAAGGTTTGGGATGTAGAAGTGCGCTCAGAAATCGTATCCCTTCAATCTCACTCTTCAGTTGATTTCAGCGGTTGAAGACAAGCTTCATGTTGTTCAGACTCAAATCCAATTTTCGTCATCCGCTGCTCATCAAGATTTTGTTAAATCTGTGGAGATGATCAAAGGTCTTGGACTATTTGCATCTGGATCAACCGACCGAGACATTCTGCTATGGGATATCAAGACAGCAATTGATACATACGATTGGGCCCAAATCAAAGCGGAGCATCGTGCTCGGAAGATTGCCCTCAGCAGTGCTCGATGCCAAGATAAAGTGACTACGGTCGAGGGAGCGCATATTGTTGCGAGTACCGACGTCTCTAACAAGTCTTCTATAGAAACTCAAGACGCCCGCAAAACTAAACCAGAAGGCTCTAATGGATCATCGTCAAAGGCTGCGCCTGGTCCCTTATACGACCCTATCTTACGAGTCGGAACGTTGAAGTCACATACCCGTCCGGTCGAGGCTTTAGCTTGTCATCCAATCTGCAATATAAACGATCCATCTATGGAGGACAACTTACTTCCTCAAGATCGCGATACCCAACAGCCTCACCTCTTGATCTCTGGTGATACAATGGGAGCTTTGAAAGTTTGGTGCTTGCGGCCTACTGGGGATCGCGTGCAGGCCATCAAAAGTTCTCTAGAATTCACCAGCTCGTTGCATCAGACGAGTATCAATTCCATCCAAATTATCAAGGATGATGATATACCACCTGATGTTCGACCCACCGCTAGACTCTGGACTGCCTCTGCTGATCATTCGGTGTTACTTTCTATCCTGGATCTTACTTTGGATGCATCTGTTCGAGTGACGAGTGTACTACGGCTAGAGCAGCCATATTATATCCGATGCGCGCTTCAACTACCTAGTCAAGTAGCTTTCAATTCAATGCTACCTAATTGGTTGATCACTGGTAGTACCGACGAAGGTATTCGAGTTTATGATTTAGATCAAATTGACGACGCAGTCGACTATACTTCTGTCATGTTCAATCCTCGTCCGAAGTCCAACAACACTGAAAAGAAGCTGCAAGACGCCTGGTTTGGGTGTGTGGACGCACATTGGCACGAAGTCACCTCACTCGGGATTTGGTTCGATCAGGCTAGTTTGCAATCATGGGTGATTAGCGCAAGTTTGGATGGAACTCTGCGTAAGTGGGAAATCGGCGCACTAAGAACACGGTTCACCGTGCAAGAATCTACCCCTAAAACTTGTGTTGAGTCTACTTCTGAGGAAACAGATATGAAGCTGAGCGCAGAAGAGTAAGTGACTTCAATCTTCAGTCAAGTTGAACATCTCATCTCTAATTGAAACTCCATCTTTTGCTTACAGGGAAGCAGAACTGGCAGAACTCATGGAAAGTATGAATTGATCTGCAAGATCTTAACATTTGCTATTTGAGAATATTTATAGGCGTTCAGATAGCCTTAGTCTTCACATACACATTGTCTTGTTGTTTAGCTCTTGAAAGCCGTGTTGCGGGCAGGGGTTAACCTTGCAAAAATTAATGCAAATAAGATACCTAATCCAAGCCCATATTAAGATTGTGTTGATCCAAGATCCAACATGCGCACAAGATAGAATTCCTCGTCCAAGGGTGTCTGATTTGGGCTATCTGCCATATACATAAGTGCCAGGTGAGTTTGGTCCGAGTCCCCAATCATCCCCTGTGTGTAAATGCGAGTGTGATAACGTGAAGACCCCCCTCCCATCACGAGCTTTGGATCCAAATTGCAATCCTCGGCCTATCTCAAGAAATGATTTTTTTGGATGCTATTAATTCCAAAACAAATAACCAGTATTAACAAGGTAAAGACCCAAAGATGTGGATGTATGATAATGGTTTCTGATCAGTTGACCTGATTACAAACTAGGAGACTCCGGACCAAGAAACGTATGTAAGGGGTCCGGTCATTAGTGGTCAGACCACAAAACCCTCTTCAACTCTGAATCAAGGTTGTGCGGGATCGCAAGTTCATAGTGACTTCAAGACGGTCAGTCCATTAGATAAGTGTGATTTGTCTGTCATACCACAGGGGCCTTGCAAAGCAGGATATTTGTTTGGGATGTGATGACGGCTCTTCTGCTCACGATTCGGATGAGGCAAAGGCATGGTTTTGACACGCTCATCTCTGACTCATCTTATCGACTCATTCCAGGTTCTAGAGGTGACTATCATCTGAGGATGATCGACTTGTATACATTTCGATAATCAAATCTAACCAGTCATTTCGAAATGTTTGAGGCATTATATCATCTGGTCCTTAGCTTTGAAATCGATTCGAATCGCAGGGAAAGAACAACCAGAACCAAATGACAAAAGACCTTCTAATTTGACACACGCTTGAATCGCAAACTCAAATTATCAAAATGACAGGAGACTCGGATTTCAAGGGTGAAGATGTGAATGAACATCAAGATTGATAAGATGTAATCGCCAGTTTTCTATTTCGAACAAATTAAACAAGTTTAGAGAAAACTTTGGGTACAGCCTAGAAAAAGCACCAAGAGTATTAAAAATCATGAGCTTTGGATTTGAATCAATCAATCAAGTTTTCAAAAAAGGCTTACACATCCATCAACACAATGCATCAAATGAAACATTTCTTCTACACAATCTTCACCTTCTACACCTTTACCTTCATTTACTTTTTCTTGACAATGATCGAAATGATGTTTATATTTAGCACATTTAGTCTCAGTACATTCTGTGATGGAAAAAATTGTGAAGATCATCATCATCATCATCAGTTTCGGAGTGGATTTTTGGGTTGATTCTGATTAGATAGAAAGAAGGTTAAGTTATATAAGTTCGTACCATCACGAATTGCAGGTGCGGGCTAGTTTTAAGAAGTTGAGTATGAGTCGAGTTTGTTTTGTAAAAACACATGATTCAGCTTATATTTCTTTATGAAGGTCATTGATGAACATTGTTACTCACGTCTTCGGGTTCTTCTTCTTCTTCCTCTTCCTCCGTCTCCTCCTCCTTTTCTGCTTCGGGGTTAGATGATTCAGCCGAGACAGTAGGTAGGATGTTGTCCAAGACGGAACTGATGATGCTTGAGCATGTGGAGCTGATTGATGAAGTAGGTTGAGAAGTTGTTGATGGCATCTTAGTTTCGATTGGTTTGATTGGTGTTGATTGGATCCTTGATATGTTACAAATCAGTTTTCATAAATTCTAGAAACTGACGATTGGCCGAATTCCGAATTGTCCCATCTAAACTAACCCGTCTAAACCCATACTCATTTGTGTCATATGTCATCTGACTCATAGAAAGTCAAGTCCTCAATGAGAACTGTGATGAGCATCGAGATGACAGGTAGAGCCTAGAGGTGATGAAAGTACACTTGAGAAGTTCAGATCATACACAAGCCAAACATATGAGCTTGAACTTATGGTCATTGACTATCAATCACATTTTCTTCAAACTTGATGAATGAGTCACACATGTTTTCAGGTATGCTTCCTCATCTGGCATCCATCATGAGATTGAGTTCTGTCTTGACCAAGTCCAATTGAAACTTCTACATTTGACTTGGTGGCTGAAATTTGCATCAATTGAACTTTTGATATTTGACTCCAGCTTTCTTCTCAAATTCCATCAACTTGTATGCTATATACTTTGCACTAGGAATAATTTCCAAGTCTGTCAAGCTCTCCCCAATTTATTACAGATTGAGTAGAGATAAGAAATGAATGTGATTGGTGATAACTGCCAATGTCAAGCTTGCTATGACAAGTATATTGGTATTGTATTCTGATAGTGGTATCACCACAACAATATCCAGGGTTCAAACTTTGATATTGGTTGGGTGCAATAGACCACTATGACCACTATATACTGGCCATATCTTGTGAACTATATCATGATCACTATTGGCCCTGTTTGATATTGTAGCAGACAAGTATTATAGCAGCATATTTCACTGTGCTCAACATTGACTCAGCCAAAACTTAAGAGTGTACTGATCATATATGATTCAAGATGGTATTTAATTGCTTCAATCTTGCCTTAGACTCCTTCATGACTCAAAATACTGAGTTAGCATCCAGACTATCCCTTTGCAACTCCCAGACTTTTTGCTGACCAAAATGGCTCACAGTAAAGACACTAGTTTTACATGGAAAACCCCTGGGTTGAGTTCTCAACTCAACCCAGCTGCTTGAAGTTGAACTGAGATAGTCTACATCCAAATGTAGATCAAATGTCACTTGGTTCAAACTTTTAAGTTTTACCTATACATTAAGGACCATTGTGATAGATCAGAAAGTTTTCTGGAAAAGTCCATCATGAGCAAGTTGTTGCACATGAAGTGAGTTGATGGTGGAGGTAGGCTTAGCTTTATAGTTTTTCTTTGGGAGTGGGGTGTGAAATTTGTAATTCTCTTTATTGAGTAGCTTTTCAATCCTTGTACTTCTACAAGCGGACATTTCTTGACCCCTTGCTTGTGTTTTCACATTTTGTTTATTATGAATTATACTTCTTCTCTGATTCTCTGAGCTCCGTCCACATCATCAGCAACTTAGAACCTTGAGAGTAAGATTGATTTAACCTCTTAATTGTCATAATTTTGTGAAGCACTCATCTTTTTTTGATGATAATTTCTATCATTTCTACCCTGCTCTGCTGCAGGTAGGGCTCAAATTACTACACTGCTTCTTATATTATCATGAGTCCACTTGGAGCTCATCATCATACCTGTTTGTCCTGGTTACTTAATACTTAAATCACTATGTTTATTTTCTTCTTAGAGTAAATCAACTTGGTAGATTTTGTCTGAAGAAAGACCAGCAGAGGCTTATAATCTCAAGATTCTTATGGTCTAACTGTGCTGCGGGTAAGGCGTCAAATTGATCCAAAACTTCTTTTATTTTTTCAACTTGACTTAGAGCTCATTATCATACCCATCTGTCCAAATTCTCTATTGCTCTGTTTTCGGAGATTCTTCATTTGCTTCAAATTTTCAAGAAGTCTTCATATAATTCTGTGAATGGATCATCAAAATCAAGATCAAAACTGTATGGTATGTCCTTGGGAGACAGAATAGTAAAAAGACTTTTGTAGTTTGATGCATTTGTAATTGCAATAGCGCTCTGGCCGTAGTTGCATCTTGGATGTATCTTTAGTAATCAGAATTAGATTCAAGTTTTTGGTAGGTCAGAATTAAAAGGTGTAGCTTATTCTCTAGCACTAAGACATCGTATTGTCAAAACGAGTCCAAAACCTTTTAAAAGATTTGTTATTCAAATCTTGATGAAGGAACTGAATGAAAAATGTAACTTGATATTCAATTAGATTATCATCAACATCCAATCCTGATTCCACATTAACAATTTTTCCTTTCACAAATCGATCCATTCCTTTACAGATTTTTATGAGTGGAAGATTGGGTAGAGCTAAATTGGTTGGTTGTGAGGCTTTGATAGTTTGTATCATGTTCTTCAAGTCTTTCTCCCAGGATTTGACAAATTCAGAGAGTTGCGGATTTTCCTTGAGTATAGTGTCATGCTGAATATTCCCATTCACGAAAAGAACTGGTTCGGATGTATCCCATTGAACGTCCGGTGTTTTTGGCCAAACTATGTCTTTCCCTAGGTTCATGATTTCTTCTGATTTCTTGTTCCATTTTGTTGAAATTGAAACATCTACGTTCTGATGACCTTTGGTGATTGGGTATCCTGCTTTATAATCATCTTCAAAAGTCATAGAAACGTGCCTTTGTAGCACAGATTGACTGTTTGAAGGTGAAATGAATCTTTTGAAGGCACCATCATCATTAATCAATGAGAAAGTTCTTGTAATTGTTGAAAGTCTAGGAATTGTTAATGATGCCCTTGATGATTTGATCATCGGTTCCAGTAATGCAGTATGATAAATTATCTCTGTATGCCATAAAAGAAATCGAGCGTGCTTTTCTTCATCCAATAATTCTTTTTTCTCAATAGACCATTTATCATAATCTCTAAGAAACAACGCTGTGAGAATTTTGATCTTGTTCCAAATCTTTAGACTTGGATTACAAGACACGACAAAGTACACAAATGGAAGTAACCTTTCTGAGGTCCATATTAGCTTGCCTACTTCCCAACTTGGGTACATGTGTACATCAGTTGTACGTGGATATCTTTTTGATAATGTGTCAATGAGATCTCGCGTGTAATGAGTTGCAGCAGCTGAACACATCTTGTCAGGAGTGTGTGAATGAAAGTTTCTGATATCGATCTTTGCTGCCTTTAGTTCGAAATCCTGTCTACTTGAAGATATACTGGATATGCCTTGTACCAATCGATCCCCATATGGATTGTTTGATGCGCTTTGCGAGGCTATATCTTCAGAGGATATTGGTGCATTTGTATGGGCCATTCGAAATAGATTACGTGTAGCTCCTTGATTTGTTCCAAGGGCAATTGCTCGGCTTTGATCACGCTCTATTTGCCCCAGACCTCGGTGATTCGCGGTATCGTATACAGCAGGTTCTCTGTGGTTATTGTCGATGGGTCTTTGAGAGCTTGATAGATGTGGATTTTTGTGACTTGGTGGAGGTTTCTTCGTCATCCGTGGTTCACCTTTCGATCCACGCAGATTCTCCATTGTTCTCATTGGTGATCCTATCTCTATGACAGGGCCGAGAGATAAGGATGCTCCATCCATCATCGTTCCATCACGTAGCTTTTTCCAAGGCTCCGAAGGATGTCCATCGAGCGACTGAGATCCCAAGGACTGATAACCTCCCCGCTGGTATAGAAATTCTTCGCCTCCATAACCGAATCGCTGCCTCTTGAGATTTGGGTGAGCGTTAGGATCCGGTAATGTTGATGTACTTGTCTTGAACACATTGTTGGTATTCCCACCTTCCTTGAAAAGCTGTCCGGATGGCTGAATGTTTTGTAGTGTTGATTCTGCTGCAAAAATCCTATCTGAATAGGTATTCATAGAGATAGCCATATGATTCAAGCTAAAAGCTGTACATATCAAAACCTGATAAACGCGTATCATGTTGTGGAGTCGTCACTGAAGGATTGCAAGCTTGATTCTGATGTTCCAACCTTCAAAATCTCTTGCTGAGAAAATCAGTGAATAATGTCTATATAATGAGTGTCTATGGAATTTTCTTGGTTCATAACGTGTTGGTTTGAATTGATGAAAATGCAGAAATTCGAAGGTGCATACTGCCACTTGACCGTTTGTCACACGTTGGAGAATAAGTTCAATCTGAATTAGTTCCAAGTAGGTTGTTAGCACCCAAGTCAGACATATGTTCGGGTGGCGCCATGAGATGGAGGTTTAGGACAGATGGAACTACCGGTCAAACGCAGCATTAACCGGGAATTCAAGCGATGCCTCGCACCTGATAAACCTCAAAAATGATACATCTTTGAACTGTAGCCAGTTCCATGAAGGCCACTGTTTCGACATAACCAGACACAGACTCCGGAGCCACAGAAAGACAATTTTGTGCTGAGAAATCTTCACGCGTCTATTTTGACACGATGAAGAGTAAATGCCAACGGAATGAAAGAAAAGAGTTGCTATGTAGGATTCCTGCACTAAAAATCGTCCGAACAGTAACGCATAATACAAAAAGTGAGAAAGTTGAGAGAAAATCAACTTCAGAAGAGACAAAAAGACAATGGAAAACAAAATAACACATAAAAGAAATCAAGATAAAGGAAAACAAAAAAGCTTAAACAAAGGACAAAGAATATGTAAAGTGCAGAAACACAATCACACCTTCCTTAAGAGAACTTTTATTCACCTCTACCTTCATCTACTCATTCTTGACCAAGAATGAAACAAGCTTTGCATTGGGTACAACTAGTTACAGTACAATCTCGTAATACCTATGGTCATTACACCAAACATCTGGCACATTGAAGTGTAAATCATGAAGTAATGATTACCAAGTATCAAATATAGAAAAGTCCATCCATCTACACTTCTATTGTGTTGAATTAGCTGTCTTGATTGATTAATTTATCTTTTTTCCCATATCACAGTTCCTGCTAACACATCCTACATTTAAACTAGGTACATGATAGGGTGGGGCACTGCCGGCAAAAATAAGCCCAGGTATCCTTGGATATAGATTCCCTTGAATATGTGTCCAAGGACTTCATTTGAGGCTTCCTTTGGACCCAAAGTTTGCCTTGAATCATTTACTTGGACAGCACATCCAAGGCTATTGCCATCCAAGAATACCTCACATTTACCAATCCAAGGCATCTTTGTTGGTGGTGGAGGGGGGGTTTATGGGAGCAGCTCTAGCCAAGACCATCTCAGAGGTAGCCCAGACAGTCATCTTCTGGGTAGGTCTTCCCCATAAAACCCAACTGAGCTGTGAACACCAGAGAGTCCGGTCCCAGCCTACCCAACCTTGAGGGGCTGAAGAGGCCACAAGCTTGCTCAGACCCAATCTCTCCTGTACCTCCCAAGAACATCATGCCTGCTGTTCCCCCCTTTTCCTACATTGAGATTCATCTCAGTCTCTGCTTTACCGCAGTGCCATCTGCTGCGCTTCATGAGTCTTTTAGTAGATCAAGCTTATATTCTTGTATGCATGGGGCTCTATCTCTGCCCTGAGGATCAACTATAGAGTTAGGCCACCTATAGCTCAAACCAATTTAAGGTTTGTATGCATTACAGCAAAGGTTTACCTCTAGTTCTAACTGAATATGTAGTAGTCATTTCTTCCCTTCTTCATTTCCCTTGTCACTACACTTCCTCATTAAAACCTGAAAATTGGCTGTATTTCCTTGAATTACAGCCAATTTCAAAGGTTTATTGAGTAAAAACTTAGGTTTCATTGGGTTTCACTTTTCCTTTTTCAAAACGGAGCAACAAGAAATATTGGAATGGCTGTATGTGTATTTCCTCTATGATTTTTTTTGATGTTCAACACTGAAAGTGAACTTCACAGGTTAAAACAGCTCACTCCAAATCAAAAGCTGGCTTCAGAAGGAAAAAACGACTTCAGAAATTGTCTGAAGGGTGTAGAAGCTGTACAGCTCTGTACATCAGTATAACACCTGTAAATGTAGGTACAGCTGTTGTGAGAATCATTGGTAAGTTTTGAGGTTTTGTGTGTCGCCAATATTTAACCCAGGGTTTAATCTGGAGTCTAAAACATATTTTTTCTTGATTTCTCAAGCCTAAACCTTAATTAGGTTCCTTTGACTGTATTTAACATCTCTGACGTTTATGGGTCCTTTGATTCTTCCCTCTTGATTCGAGCAATCATTTTCCCTTAGTAGAGTTTCTTTAGCACCTTTTGTTACACGCTCCGGTCCCTCCTCAATCTCCCTCACCTCTACCCCTTGAATAAATCCGCCATTTGAAGATTTACATAATTTCAACAATTTCAACCAAAGATTTCAATCACGATAAGGACCATGATGATATTTCCGTTTGATATAGGCATTGAAAACCGCTCTGAAGTCATGCAAATATCAATGTTTTCAATCATGGAAAGAGGGTGCATACGAGTTATTCAAATCAAGGTTTCCAAAATCAAAGCTTCAAGGAAGAAAAAAGAACTGGATATCAATTGTTTCAAAGTTTTCCAAATCAAAGTCAATTCTATTTGGTTAAAACATATATGTAACATCAAGAATGAAAAGATAAGACAATATCATGACAATAAAGAGTATTTTAAAGTATGTCAATTCTTTTTCTTTTGCCAAAGATTTTAATCAGCTGATTGAAATCTTTGTTCTTTGCACCCTGTTACCGTGAACATGAATTGAAAAATGGGGTTGTGAGTTCATCTGACCTCATCTGACCTCACCATCAAAAATGGGGATTGGTTTGATCATCCTGGAAGGGTATAAATAGGGGTATGTTTTCTCCTTTGGTTTCATTGTTCGTTCATCGATCTCAGCCAGTCCATAACCCTGATATCATTTGCTCAATGATTTTCTTCCCCTTCCTCTCTCTCAGCTTGACTCTGACCAATCCGTTGTAGAACTTAAAGCTCAACAAGAGCTTTACAGAGCTTAAAGAGGGATAATCTACTAATATAACTAACTAGTAGAAGTTGTCTAAGACTGCCTCTTTGAAAGAATCAACACGGGGTTTTGCTGAATTCTTTGGGATAAGGCACCAGAGAAATTTGTCTCAATACCTAATTCAAGTAACATTCCTGTGATTTTTAGAAATAAAGAAATCTCAACACTATTGTAGTGTTATTCCAATCTGAGCACAACAAAAACACAACTTTAATTACTAGCAAAAGCAACAATCAGTTTGATTTTTATTCCAATGAAGACTTGTAGTCTTATCACACGTAAAGAAATCTCTCCTTTGATGTAAAGGGGCAATTTAGTGAACTTAGTACTGCTAAAGTAATTTAATAATGATTAAAAACACTCTAACAAAAGTATAAGATGAGTAAAAAGGGGAACAAAGGCCCGTAAAATCCTTAACAATAGTATATAACCTTCCAACACCTGTGAGGGATGGGTGCTCACTGAAGGGTAGAATAGTAGGTTTATTTAAATTTAACTTCTTTATTTCAAATATGTAGTAGTTACAAATTGAAGTAAAGAAGGAAAATTAAAGAGAAGAAAGGGACTGACAGTCTGTTTGGACAAATCCAGACAGACTTCAGTTAATTGACTCCTAAAAAGGAGATTCAGTAATTATAATATGATGTTTATTATAATATATGAAGGTTGGATCCTGGACCTTCCTTTAATCTTTATTGTAACAGATCAAAGAGTGAGTTAGTTCACCAATCTGGTTGTCCTTAAAGTCACCAACTTGGGGTTATTCTTAAGGTCACCAGCCTTAAGTTCTTCTTAAGGTCACTAGCCTGGAGTTGTTGGAGGTCACTAGCCTTGATTGGGTTTCTACTTAGGGGAAGTAGAGGATCCAGAGGGGAATGAAGAATTGTATTACCTACTTTTAATCAGGAAGATGATTAAAGTTGATGAAGCTTATCACTAGTCTTATTTGTATAAGACTCTTGATTTTTTACTTCAGTGAACTTTAATTGTTCTTTAAAAGTAGTGGGTAATGATTGCTTGGGGGATTCTCTGAAGGCTGAGAGAGGAGGGTTTATATACTCTCCTCTCCAAACCTAACTGTAGTGATATTTGTTATTATCACTACATTGGTTCAGGTTTAGTTATTGACATGTAGTACTGATTGTTACTAGTAATGCTTAATTACATATACACCTTGTGTGTGGTATGTAATATAAGCATTTAACTCTTGACACTGAGTTATGAGGTGTAATTGGTGTTTTGTTACATATTACATGTTGTTTTACAGGTCCATATATATGTAATAAAGGTTTTAATACATTGTATTACATGTTACATACAGTCTATGCTCAGTATGTAACATGTAGTTAATCTTATACATATGTTTTTTACTGTTACAGGTTAGTTTTGGGTACATGTATATGTACTCAGGGCTGTCATTCCCCACCCTCAAAGGAGGTCATTAATTCTTTTCAGAAGGTTTATGAGCTCTTTTTTGTGCTCTGAAGTCTCGTAAGGTTGTCTTGCCGTTGGGTACTTTATCAGCTGGCAGCCACTCATCTTCATCTGCACTCCTATTTTTGTACCTTACAAGATAGAGAGTTGCAGATTTACCATTAACTTGTGTTTCTCTTTGTTTTATTATATGTGAGAAAACTTTTTCTCCATCAGTTTCAAACCTGATTGGAGTTTTCTTGGGTATTTCCCTGTCAGGGAATTTGCTTTTATCTGAAGCGTGAAATTTCTTGATTAATGAGATTGGGAAAACTGGGTGTTTTCTCCCAAACTCCTCAGTTAATGCTACTTCCACTGCATTGCTACCATGAAATTTCAATATTATAAAAGGTCCTACAAACTGATCTTGGAGTTTCTTTGGACCTTGCAGATTAGTAAAATTTGTAGTGGAGAGTAGTACTTGTTCTCCTATTACAAACTTAGGTTCTTTGTGAGTTTTATTCCATCTTTCTTGATTATAAGTCACAGCATCTTCAATACATTGGGCTGCTCTGGCCC